GGGGGAGGGGGAGGGGGAGGTGGAGGTGGAGGTAGCGGTGGAGAGAGTCGTGGTAGTTGTGGATTTAAGATGAAGGTGGTGGTGGCGTTTGGGTGGTGTCGACGATGATGAAGTGCGTGGGTGTGAGGTGGGTGAGACGAAGAGTGGTTGTGACCAATTAATTTGATAATTTATCACAAAAATGTGGAATTTGCAATTAAATCGTAATTATGGCCTACAAATTGTGTATTTATGAATGTGAACTTGTGTGATTTGTGACTAATATAGAATTGTGATCATAAATTATGTGTTAATCAAATCATAAGTCACAAAATTTTTATGAGAGGTCACAAAATGTGGCCCCCTAATTTTTTTAAAAACATTATCCGTGATTTTGGAACATAAGAGAGAATATGTCAGAGAGATAAAGTGGGAAGTGTGAAACAATTATCTTTTCCTCATGTTTGGTAGTGATCGATAACTTTTCAATCACGTATTTCATCAACTTTTATCAAAATATACTAAAAATATGATTTTAATTTCCACCAAATAGAAGTTTAATAACTAAGAAAGAGAAAGTAGGGGGTGAGAGAAATAATTATATGCAATAACTAAATGATGTAAGAGAGAGAAAGTGTAAGGGTGAGAAATATATATATTTAGCTAATTTTTCAGCAAATTTTTTACGGTTATGTATGGTTATTAACATCACTTATATTTACCCTTTTGACATTTAATTCATTTTATTTAAGAGAAGGGCATCTACGGTAATTTGTTTCACGTTGAGTCAATAATTACTATGGCATAAGGACTCGCCTACATTTTCAACTGTCAAAATTTTGCTTAAAACCTTGTAAGAATTGCATCCAGGCACAGGCATATTAAGATGTGATATTATTGATGGTAGATTAATTTTCCTAAATTTCATTCACATTAATTTCTTCAAATTATATATAATTTATTAATATGATTTATCACTTGATTTTTTTTTAAATATTTTTGTAAGTTTGTTAAATATGAAATTGTATATTTAAAGTATTGAACTTATGAATTTTTCCCTTTTTAAAAAGTAATAAGATTTTTTTATATTATTCATTTTTTTGTTTTTGGGAGAATCCATAGTTGAAAATGAATACGAAAAAATTGATCTCCTAAAATTACTCGCACACAAGGGCTAAATTAAGCCCCTGTTTGATATGAATTAAAATTAAGATTTAAATCTAAGTTAAGTTAACAATTAATTATAACCACACATTTTATGCAATTCACAACTTTTTAACCATACATTTTATGAACTTTTATAAAAAATTAATTTTAATCCCGTCAAATATGGGCTAATTATTGGTTGGTAAAATGAGCTGAGACAAGTTTGGTGCCAACTTTGTATTGAGCATACTTGATTAAGTGATTTTCTTGCTCGTTCGGGTAAGCTTCAAAAGAAAGTTAATTATGTATAACTAATTAAGTTAATTGAAAATAAGGATTTTTATAATTCTCTGCTAGTAATTATTTTAACTTAAATCTCAAATCACTTTGATACTTGATAAGGAAATTTTCTTGCTTGTTTGGGTAAGCTTACAAATTGTGCACATGTCTAGTGTTGTCAAGAAAATTGAATCTATCTACATGCGGAAAGATGTATAGAATCAAAGTTTTTAATAAATACATTCAATCCTTTTCTATTTTCCAATGACTCAAGCTTTTAGACGAGAGCTAAACAAGTCTAACTTTAATACTCTCTCCGTGACACAGATATTTAAATGTCCATTTGATAGTATTAAATTCTATGAAAAATGTCACATCCGATAAATTCGTTTTCTACTTTGACTGTTTGATACGAAAGTGAAAAGAACTTTGAATTCCAAGGTAGAAACACTTAAAACGTGTTTTTGGCCAATTGAATAGAAATCGAATTCCTATGGTTTTCGTGATTTTTTTCTTTTTCAACTTACATGGAATTGATTTTCCTTTTTCACATTTACAATCAAACAGACCCCAAGTGAGCAAGCAGCAGAGAAGCCACCCACTGTAGGAGCTTAATGCTGTGGAATTACAAGATAGGTCAAGACAGAACCCATTTCAATAATAAACTAATCCCACAAGATTATGTATTCACCTCAGATTTCTCTTGCCTTTTTGTTGTTACACTTCTGTATTTGCTGCTGCATTTACTGTTGATTGGTCAAGGAGGAAATAGCCATGAACCGACAAATGAACTCTCAACAGCGTGGGCACACCCATTAAGGGCCAGTGGGTGCAATCATCCCCCACGGAATTTCCAAGTACCATTAGTTGGGCTTTTTTAAATTTAAATTGTGAGATTTGTTTGGTTTTTTTTACAATTTATTTTAGGGAAAATTTCATAAGTGAGAGTTTAAGAATGGTATATTTCAAAATTAAGAAAACAAGTTTTAAAATTCAAAATTCAGATTTTTATTTAAATTTATTTATGATTTAATTATTTTATTAATTTAATATATTTATGTCACAAATCTATACAATTTGGTCACGAATTCACAATTTAATTACTAATTTCTTATTTTTTATCACAAATCAAAAGTTTTATATCACAAGTTATTTTACGATCACAATTCAAAAATTTTGCACGTCACAGTTTGTTCATCGGTCACAAATCAAAAAATTAATTAGTCACAAATTCATTTCTAGTCACAACTTATTTCTCGGTCACAAACAAAATTTTTTATAGGTTACATATTATTTTTTAGTCACAAATAAATTTTTTTGTAGGTCACAGATTATTCATTGGTCATAAAATCACAACTTTTATTGGTCACAACTCATATATTCATTTCAAATTATTAGATTAATTGGTCACGATCAATTTTTTGGTCACAACTCATATATTCATTTCAAATTATTAGATTAATTGGTCACGATCAATTTTTTGGTCACAACTTAATCAATTGTAAGTTACAATCGCAAATCTTGGTTTAAATATTATAAATTTAGTTACGGTCACATATTTGGCCACGTATTATTTATCGATTACAAAATAATCATAACATAATTGGTCACAAATACTCTTTCCACGCCATTGCAACACTGCCAACCACCCCTCGCCAAATCCACCACCATTGCCAGCCTCACCAACACCAAAACCAACCAAATCCCCAACAACAATCGATCACCACTACAACAACAACAAAAAAAACCAGCACCACCGTCACTACGCACACTACCTCACCACCACTACTACCCTATAACGTGTAACAGTACACTACCGCAACCATCGTCGCCAAAATCACCACCACAAATCCACTGAACGGCAACCCACCATAGATCCACCATCATCACCACAACCCAACACCGTACCGCCACCATCCAACAACTATTATAAAATAAAATAAAATAAAATAAAATAAACACCGCAACCACCATCAACCACGCACCTCACCGCCAGATCCACGATCGCAGTCCACTGTCAAACATCACCTATCGCTAGAGCCATCCACCAACAACCACTCCTACACAGATCTATCCACCTTCGACCTCGACAATCCCATAGCCCAAAACCAATCGCGCGACATCACTCATCATTGTTCAGATCCGCTCACAGATAGCGTAGTTGCTGCTAGAGATGACACTCACTCCATTATGATGGCTTCATCATCATAGTGTCGCCGAAGTGAGTGATCGATTGCCAGAGAAAAAATAAAAATGGGGAAGAGAGAGAGTGAATGATTTGGGATGAATTGATTTATTAAATCTTAGAGAAAAAATAAGTGAGAAAATTAGGGTTTCCTAATTTTTGAATAGTAAAACTTTCCATCTAATTTTGGAATGTGGAATTTTTAATGTATGGTAGTGTACTTTCCACAAAAAAAATTAAAACCCTTTAAAAAATGTTGAAATTATAACAAGTGCATTAACACATTCAGTCGGGTATTACAAATCCTTGTTTTTAAGATAAATAAACAATTAAAAATTTGTAAGTTAAAAGCATAGGCACTTTAAGCGCTAAATTAACATTTAGCCCTCGTTTGAGCCCTATTATTTCTCATTACATCAAATTAAATTTTTTTCTCTCCTACTTTTAACTACACAATCTTCAATAAAATAATATTACATGAAAATCAAAAAAATTTCAACCACTCATTTTTTTTTAAAAAAAATTACTATTCATCTCATTATAATGCCAAATAATGTGGCTCAAACACACTCTTAAAATGAAGAAACTTTATTGATTAAAGTTGAAAATAAGTAAACTAAATTATAGAAAGGTCTATAAATAACTTTTTTACTCAAATATATATATATAAAGGAATTTAAGCTTACTTAGAACTAACTTTTACGCTTAGGCTATATATATATATATATATATATATATATATATATAAAGGAATTTAAGCTTACTTAGAACTAACTTTTACGCTTCGGCTGCTGGAACCTACCAAATGGAGAATCCAATAATCTTCCCCAGAAATGAAACATTACCCTGCATCCCTTAACTTTTCATATGATTCCTTTATTGTTATTATTAGCAACAGATGTTTAACTGACATACATTGCCCACAAGTTTGCCCGATAGCAAGTGAACATCATTATTAAACGGAAACGGGAAAAACTATAGAACTCTAGTTAGTAAAGAAAAAGAAGTAGTAACACCGTCACTAATCATGTCCAACAGCACTAGGAAATGAAAGAAGAAAGTAACACCGTTATTAATCATGTCCCATAGCACTAGGAAATGTAAAATTTAAGGCACCCGCCAAGTTAGGAACCCAAACTGGGTTTGGCAATAGAGAAACAGCACAGATAGATATTAAGATCAAAATCTCAAGAACTTGATGAAGATCACTTCTCGAAGCAGAAAATGATTTCAGGAAGTCTAAAAGGGGCAGATACAAGAATTAAAAAATCTCTCTCTCTTTTTAGTGATCGCCTGGCAACGATTTGATGATGTCCGAGTCACCTACATGCCAAAGAAGCAATTATGTTGTCAAGAGGCCATCCAACTTCTCTAGTATTGAACCATAACAGAAGCCTGACTGAATTTATCACATACCTGGATCAACAATGCTAAGGCAGGAAACTCGGAAGTATTTGCCACACGCAGTTCCCAAGTCAACATTATCTATGAGAGAGAGAGAGAGATTAGAAATTTGATCAATTTCCAGTGGAAAATTTATAAATAATCAGGATGTATGAATGAAAATCACAATATCCATATATGAAGCAGGTGCACAAACGTCCAAGAGAAGGACAACAATGGAAATAGCTCAAAAAATCCCTCCAATGGAGGAGAGAGGAAGTAGAGAGAAGGAAAGTATATGTGGAATGTGAGAGGAGTATAGGTTGAGTACATGTTCTCCACAACATCAAATCTCATATGGTGAAGCTCGGGATAGCATATCCCAGTGAAAGAAGAAACTTGAATAGCAGATGAACTTACTTCGTCAAACAGAAGTAGAGAACCTACATAGAGCCAGGTCCAGTTCAAAAGGCTTATGCTAGAATAGTCGAGAGAATTATTTATTACAGCCGCATTGTGGCTTAAATTTTTACCACTCTATACTTGAATTAAATACACCAAACTCAAGCTTAAAGTGAGGATCTTAAGCTCTAGTTACAAGGGAAAAAATTGCTAGACACATCATAGGCACATGGCTTAAAGTTCACTCTGGCATCAATACCAGGAAATCCAAATGAATACCCCTATCACCAATGTGTGTGGAACTAATAAAATATATCCTAGAATATAATATCTCGTCCTTGGCATTAGCCAAGTTTTCTCTCCTGTTACTGCTGGTGATTAAATAAATGAAAAATAGAAAAAAATTATGTTGCTTTTAGGGCCTTGCATTGCCACAGTGCAAGTGTAGCCCAGGAGTCATCTTATGCCAACTAAATACACTAGAAAACTTCAGAAAATGCAAAATATGATCAGATAAATATCTAGTGTTAAATCAAAATCAAATGTCAAATTTTCAATTCGTCCACAACTAGCACGTGATGGATTCCAACAGAAAATTAGCCCAGATCAACACTAAAACAAACCAAATTCCCCCAAAAATGCTTAATTCACGTATGAAAATCATATCATTGCTGAAGGTGACTTAACATCGGACAACTTACTTCCATTGTAGTGGTGAACCCCAACTTTTGACAGCATAGCATAGTACTCAATCTCAGATTTCCTCAGCGGCGGACAATTGTTTGAAATGAGAATCAGTTTCCCTATCACCATTCCCCCAATTAAAGGCATACGTATCATAAAATGCTAATTGTAAGCGTTACAGCACAACAAAAATGTCGTAAAACAATGCAATTTCACTTAAAAGGGAAAAGAAAAAACCTTTCGAGCTGCGGAGAGATTTGAGGACGGTCTTATAGCCAAGGGTGTATTTTCCGCTCTTCATCACGAGAGCCAGCCTATTGTTGATGCTCTCGTGAGTCTTCTTCTATAAAATTACAAAAATAAAATTAAAAATTTAGAGCCAAATTTTGTAGTTCTGATTCAACACAAAATGTATCGAGATAATAAGAGGGACAGAGAGAATCGTACAGTTTTCTTGGCGGCGACCATTATGGCGGAGCTAGGAATAGGGTTTTGCAGAGATGCGACGGGAAGAGGTATCCTTCAATTAGCACAGCGGCGGCAATGCTCCACCGGGAAGGGTTTCACAGGGGTCGCTATAAAAATTGCAAACGGTTTAAGACACGTGCCATTCACGTGGAAATAAATTAGCTTCTTTTATTATTACTAGTCACCTGCCGTGCGTTGTTATTTTCAAGATAATATTAGTATATTAAATATGTTGCATTCTCATTAATTACATTTTGAACTAATAATTGTTAGAGACGATTTTAAACCATCTATCTCTAAATAAATGATTTTGTAATAAGAAAGCAAACTAATGTAGAGAAATTCAACTGGATCAAAATAGTAAGATATAAAACCATAGACAGATAGATGAAGCAAAAATTAAAGATTGACATGTTCTATAGATGATATGTATACTACAATCTTTTATTAGAATTCTTCTCATAGTTCTGTAGGTCAAGGACGCTCAGCATGGATCTTGTTTTCAAATAGTTCACATCTTTAATTGGTGGTTGTGAGAACTTCTATCCTAACCGCGTCAACCAATATTTAAATTTTCGAAATATTAGAAAATAGAGATATTCAACAAGAAAAATATATTATTGCGATGATTTGAAAAGAAATTCACTATCCTTCTCAAGACCTTATTTCCATACCAAAAATTGGAACAATATCATTGAATAAAAGTCTTCAAATTGAAGCAAATTTTTTACAAGATTTAGTACGTTTCCATCCTAGATTATATTTAGCAAACTTATGACATAAATTCAACATTGTCAATGGTTGGAAAAACAATTGGTCTCAGTCATTTTGTAGAAATAGAAACGCAAGTATTATTAGCACCTTCCCATACTGCTCCACTGTTATCCATTATATTGTGGAACTTAAAAATTAAAATAAAAAGAAATAAAAACAGCGATTAGCACATATTGATAATCCTATTATAAGATAAGAAAATTAAATATTTAAACAAAATTTAAAGTTAATTACAAAGAAAATTTAGCGCCATATTAGCTGCATTTTGCCATTTCCATTAGTACGATAAAAATAAAATTTTCCACTTATGAAAAACATTTGCATCAATGTTCAGTTTTATCAACAAGGAAAATAAATGAAACATCATATTGTTTTAACTCACCATATTGTTTCAATTGCTCAAGTCCTCCTGGATGTTCTTCTAAACCGAATAGAAGGTTGCAGAGGCTATATATGTTCTTTTAACATCTGAAAATTGAAAACAAAAAAAATAGCCAAAAGATCTTTACCCGGAGATTAAGGCTCTTATACTATAGTAGGGACCTAAAATAAAAGTGAAAATAAATATGATTCTCAATGCTGCAGTATTTTGCTGCTATATACGAAGATAAAATAAATATATTCATTCATGCTCCTGAGGATGATCAGGTATGCCGTTTTATGATAAAATAAATTTAAACTTGCTTAACACGATACATACACAAGATGCAAAAAGCTGAGAATTAGTATAAATTACGAAGTCCTAATTTTTGTGTTGGTGATCTCATTTGTTGTGTTCAATCTTTATTCTTTTTTAGTCGAATAGACTTGTGGATTAGAAGGTTATTGAGTGATTATTGAAAATTGCTAGCAGCAAAGGTTTAGTGTTTTTATTAATAATTCAAGATTTTGAATTGAATTCTTTATTTGTGAAAAATATTTGACTTCTACTTTGATTTCAAATTTTAGTTTCTGCATCTCTTCCTCAGGAAGCATCTTTTCTCAAAACTTCCTACAACGAATTACGAAGATAATATATTAAGGTCTTACGATTGGATGTTTCCTTTACAAGATGAAGTCGAAGTTTAGCTAGAAATTTATCACATGCAATAACAATCAGTACTAATAGGGCATTCTTATCTAATTTCAAAATACAACATAAAAAAGTGTACCATGATTTATGCAAGGCTATATATTATAGAAATAGCAAAAACATGGAATAAACCAATGCATACAAGAATTAAAAGGAAAAATCTGAAATTGAAACTAAAAGGTACCTGATTGGACAGCTAAGACGGTATCACCCTCGACAATCAGATTATAAGCCATCCACAAATCACCTGCTTCTTCTGGGACCATCTGTGGCAAAACCAAACACCAACATAGAGGAAACAACAAATTACTACTATTTAAACACAAAAGAAGTAATGAATTTGAAATTGACGTTTTCTTCCCTCTTGCCCTTTCAAGTGGAATTTCATTTTACACCGTCTGTGTACATCTTCTTAAAGTTTTAGAGATCTCACGATTGAACTTAGTACATAACACTTCCTTTTCTTCGAAAGAAAGAAAGTCAATTCAAAAATATTGATCAGAATTAGCATCACAGGTAAAGGTGCAAGATATTAAAACATTTAGAATCAAGCATATGCTGCCTTGCACATTAAAAATCTTTACCATGTACAACCACAACTCTTTTCCCCTTTGCACAGCATTGTAAATAAGAAAAAAACTGCATTGACATATAAAGCGGAAGAGTTGAAGTAATTACCTCTACAAAATTCGGATCCAAAATGGTGTTGATTTCGAAAGCTTCTCCTTGATTTATCTTTACCTCATTAACATTCTAATTAAACAAAACCAAAATGTAAATATAAAAATATAAATGTAAAATCCAAGTCACCATTTCCATAAAATTCATGCAATAAACTTGAAATGTAACTAATTTAGCTTTAAAAAGCATGAACTTTCAAAAACCCAATTGCAGTTACCCAATAAAAGTAGCTACTTTCACGAACCTGAATAAAAACAGATATTAAATGTAACCAAAAAGAAAAAAAACAAGGATAAATGAAAGACAGGCGCATTGACTGAGTAGTAAATGATTGAAGAATAGGGCTATAAATTATTGAGAAAACAACATGAATGTACTGTTATACAACTCTAGTAGAAGAAATTGTTTACCTGTCTATGATTGGATTGCCTTCTCACCTCATACTGTAGTTGCCTTCTCAAAATCTTTCCCCTTCGAAGGTTTCAAGAACTCAAATTTTTTATAAAGAGTAAGGAAATCTGGTAAGGTTTCGTTTGGTGTGGAGAGATAAAGCACGCATGAAGTGAGATAGAGCAATAGCCACTTTAAGGGGAATTTTAGTGAACCACCTTAGTAAATTTTTATTCAAATGGTTGGTAAACATTTTGATCGATACTATTTTTTGGTCAACCAAATAGAAAGAACCCAGTGAAAAATGATGGGTGATTGTGTGCAGAAATGGAGAAGCAAAGAGGCATGGTTGTAGCGTGTGAAAATGGAGAAAAGTACACATAAAATTATTGAAGATAATACGACGTCGTTTTTGCTCTCACGATAAAAAAAACAAAGAAAATTTGCTACGATGTGATATATATGCTAAATAATTGACAAAGTAATAAAACTCTCAATGTATTTTGATTCAATAATCAAGAGCTATGTGTCCGTGACATGAGGAAAATTAAATGATTTAACAAATTAAAGAACAAAAAAAAAAGAATTGCAGACAAAAATAAAAAACTCGAAAAAGTTATAATAAATTTTTTTAATTAAATTGAAATAATTTAAATTTAAAATAAATTTAATTTAATTAAAATTTAAAAAAAGTTATGTTTTATCATAAAATGAAAAAAAAATCAAAACAAATTATTTATAATACGAAAAAAAATTAAAAAAATTAAATATATATGTATATGGTCAAACTCTTTTTTTATCTATCCATTTTGTAGGATTTAGCTCAAAAGAATAGAAGTTAGAATTTTTTTAAGTATGGAAGCTATAAATGGTAACGATAATTTTTTTTGTTTTTGCAGTTGCAGATGTGAAGTTGAAACTTTGTGTTAGTTTATTTATAAAAGAAAAATCGAGACATAGTGACTTAATAAATATTTTAATGTTGGGTACAAGATGTTGGAAAAACGATGTTAAATTATTTATGTGTCCATGTGTCAGTTGTAAAAAAGGAAGCATAGATAGGATAAACAAAAAAAAAAGACTGAATATTGAAACTTTTTTTTTAATGCTTAAAACAAAGAAAATTATTTACATTGTAAAATCTCATCAATAGCCATACCTTATTATCTAAATAGTCATGCCTTACTATATAATCACTGTCATAAGATATGGAGATTACTTTGAAATTTCACTTATAGTACAATATGGCTGCAATGGAATATCTCTTTCTCTTAATTCTCACGTTATTAACTATCAATCATATCCTATATATTTAAAATTTTAAAAAAAAATATATATATATATTCACTTCGTGCATGGAGAAAAAAATTTATGTCATACCTCATAATTTTTCTTTAGCAAAATAATAAATTGAGAAAATTGTTGCGAAAAAATAATAAATAGTAATAAAATAATTGATTTTTTAAAGAAAAAAGACGACTTATATGCATTTTTTAACACATACGTTTAACGTACGTTTAACTATTTTCGATATTCATTTAGATCATTCAATATGTCTATGATATTGTTCTCGAAATGAGTTTCGAGAGAATATAAAATATTTATCGATTCGACTATTGTATAATCGTCGATGAATTTTTAAATTTAGTTTGTTATCGAAAATTTCGAAATATAGTTTGAAAATCCCTGTTTTGACGTCTCATAACATTTGCTACGATTAGCCGTTTCATGCACCGTTTACGACATGCAATACTATGTCGTGAGTACTTCAAAATGATATTAAGAATATAATATTTCGACATCGTTTGACAATAACCTTTGTGCAAGGAGGTTTATGCCAATTAAATGTATGTGTTAAAAAATGCGTATAAGTAGTTTTTCTTATAAAAAAAATCAATTATTTTATTACTATTTATTATTTTTTCACAACAATTTTCTTAATACATCATTTTGCTTAAAAAAATTTATGTAGTATGACGTAAATTTTTTTCTTCATGCACGGAGTGAATATGTTTTTTTTTTTTTACAATTTTTTTACAATAATTTTGTTTATTAATATAATTTTAAAATTTAAATATATAAGATATGGTTGATAATATAGCGTGAGAATTAGGAGAAAGGGTCCTACACTATTTTTGAATAAAATTTTTCTTGTTGTCAAATCAGTTCCCAAATCGATTAAGTGTAAAAACAAGTGTGACAAAAAT